GTTGGAGGGATGATTTGAAAGCCCACAGTGAACTCTGAGGTCTACAGACACATGTTAACTGCTTCTCATCACCGTAGTCCAACTGCCAGCAACCACTGCCCAGAAAACTCTATGTGAAGGGGAACCCCAGCCGCTGCCTCTCTGGCTTGGCCTGTGCAGCCTCTTCCCCCATCCTCCCCTCCACAGAGGTCTCGCCTTGACGGACACTCCTAGGCCTTTGGAGGTGGAGAACAAGGAGGGGAGGGAGGTGGCCGAAAAACTCCTAAGAGCTGCAGTTGGAGCAAGTTTCTCAGGGCGTTGGAGGCAACAGAGGCTCAAGTGCTCACTTGAGCAGCACATACACTGAAATTGGAATGACACCGGGATTAGCATGGCCCCTGCACAAGGATAACATGCAAATTCATAAAGTGTTCCATATTTTTTAAAAAACCCAGGAAGACGAAAGAGTAAAAAACAACCCAAAAAACCAGAGGCTCAAGTGCAGGTGGAGTATGTGAGTGAGGTGAGCAGAGAAAAGTGGAAACTTGTTGGCCAGGCTGGAGTGAAGTGGCGCAATCTTGGCTCACTGCAACCTCCGCCTTCCAGGTTCAAGCGATTCTCCTGTCTCAGTCTCCCGAGTAGTTGGGACACGTCACCATACCTGGCTAATTTTTCTATTTTTAGTAGAGACGGGGTTTCGCTATGTTGGCCATGCTGGTCTTAAACTCCTGGCCTCAGTTGATCCACCCACCTCAGTCTCCCAAAGAGCTTGGATTACAGGCATGAGCCACTGTGCCTGGCCAAAAAGTGGAAACTTTAAACACGTTTGCTCCAAATATCCCCCCTCACGATATGCAATAAACGCAACTAAAGAGCTTGAGTTACTTTGAGATATTCAGAAATGCAATCCCTGCAGTGTGGGATAGAGGAACAGACGAAGAAAGTCCTTTGGATGCACCACAGTCTCCAGGGAGCAGCAGGCAGTGGCTGTCAGTGGCTGTTTTCTGGGCCCTCTGGTGTCTCCCAATGAGCTGGCCTCACTCCAGATTTGAGGAGGAGGTTCCTATGCATGGTGTCCCCATGCTAGATTGGCCTGGGAGGTCCAGGGGTCCTAACGGGCTGTCATGACCAGAAGCAGTGTGCAAGGCGCTCTGTGCTCAACTCACTGGAGCTTGGCAAAAGGGTTCTTTATACCATTTTTAAACCGGATACCTTGCCTCCAATAGTAGATTTAATCATCCAATGATCCCTACAGCTACAATGCTTTCCTAGAAGGAACAGGGAAGGGATTACTCACATGGCGAGTAATGATTCGGTTCAGAAATGATGTTCCTCTGGTTCTGCAGAAGGTTTGGGATATATTTCCATTTTCCTAAGCCAGTCGCCTGCTTCCTCACACCCACTTGTGACCAGTGACACTTGTGTGGAGATAGTGAAGCTAAGGTGAGGGCTACAGCTCTGGGGTCTGTATACAGGTGGAGCTGCTGTCCTAGCCTCTTTGACCCTGTGTTTCTCAATAAAACTGGCCTTGCTGAGGTGATCTGCCAGTGGTGTGTAATCCTGACCCATTCCTTCAGCCCCACAGAGAGAGGGGGGAAGGGGGTGCTCTTCCATGGAGGGTCTGGGCTTCAGATCAACCCGCCCCATTTCTGGAAAGGGCAGCTGGCACGACTGTCATGCAACACAGTCTCTGGGTTGGAGAGCAGGCCAGGGACCCTACAGAAGGGGTCTCCACCCCACAGTTCCAAGAGGGATCAGATAGGGGTAAACGTGGCACCACTCTGAAGTTCCCAGGCACCTGGTTTACTCCGTTATCAAATGCAGCAGTGACAGAAAGTGCGAGAGAGCCAACGCTTCATACAGGTACTCTTCTTGATACTGTGGTAAAGTTCTGTATTTACGTTACCTTCTGTGGTAGGCAGCATAATCGATCCACCCCTCACAGAATTCTACATTCTACTCTCTTGAACCTGTGACTATGTCACCTTACATAACAAAAGGGACTATGCGGATGTGATTAAGAAGCGTGAGATGGGGAGACTATCCTGGATTATCCAGGCAGACCCAATGCAATCCTAAGGGTCCTTGTAAGTGAAAGAGGGTGTCGGGGAGTCAGAGAAGATGTGACAATGGAAACAGCACCAGAGTAACGCAGCCTGAGAAAGATGCGACTGGCCATTGCTGGCTCTGAAGATGGAAGGAGACCATAAGCCCAGGAACACTGAAGCCTGCGGAAGCTGGAAAAAGCAGGAAAACGAATCTTCTCCAGAACCTCCAGAACGAAGGCAGCCCTGCTGCTATCTTCATTTTGACCCAATGTGACCTACTTCTGATGTGTGACTGCCAAAACTGTAAGACAGTGTAAGATAGTAAATGTTAAACCACCCAACGTGTGACAGTTTGTTTCAGCAGCAGTAGGAAATTAACATCCTTTCCTTGGGAAATTCCAGGTTTCCCACCGACAGGCAAGGCATGAGATCTTCCTCCTCTCTTTGTGACCCAATGGCAATGCTTGGTATTTGTGAAATGGATCTACTTGACCGTGCTCCATGAAAGATCTTGTCCAAGATCTTGTCCTCTGGATACATATTCAGTCCAGACTTAAACTGATGTTTTTAAAACTAGTTTTTAAAAATATTAATGCACCTGGCTGGGACTAGGAGCTTCTTCAGGAGTAACGCCTTGGCCATCCAGCAGCACATGTGGTCTGAATATAGGGCCATGCACTAACTGGGAGCCACAGGTCCCCTCTGGGGGCTATTTTGGTAACATGATGCTAGAATCACAATTGCTTCAGGAGCAAGGGGGAAGAAAGAAAGGAGGCAAAGGGCATTACCATTCTTCTGTGGAAATTCTTCAGGATGAAGGCTGGGAGGGACCTTCCGTGACACTAGTCTAGAGATCCTAGCCTCCTTCGAGGGCCCAGCCTTCTTACTTCAGGAAAGAATGTGACATTTATGATTCATGCCACACTGTGAATTTATATCGGAAGGTCACCTCTCTGTGGAGTATGTGCATTCTAAATTTGTTCTTTGTTCATGGTTAGAGTTTTAAGATTGCCCTTTTCCTCTCCTCTCCCCAACACACCTCAGAGTCTCCATGTTGCCAGTGCCCCAGAATGGCCTTGTTGAGACAAGCATGGCAGGAGCCATGCTCATGCCTGTAATTCCAATGCCTCATGCCTGTAATTCCAACACTTTGGGAGGGCAAGGCAGGTGGATCACTTGAGTCCAGGAGTCTGAAACTACCCTGAGCAACATGGCAAAACCCCATCTCTACAAAACTACAAAAATGGCCAGGCGCGGTGGCTCATGCCTGTAATCCCAGCACTTGGGAGGCCGAGGCGGGCGAATTATGAGGTCAGGAGTACGAGACCAGCCTGGCCAACATGGTGAAACCCCGTCTCTACTAAAAATACAAAAAATTAGCTGGGCGTAGTGGCAGGCACCTGTGGTCCCAGCTATTCGGGAGGCTGAGGCAGGAGAATCTCTAGAACCCAGGAGGCAGAGGTTGCAGTGAGCCGAGATTGTGCCACTGCACTCCAGCCTGGGCAACAGAGTGAGACTCTGTCTCAAAACAAACAAAACAAAAGACAAAATTAAGGGCAGAGGTGGGAAGATTGCTTGAGCCTGGGAGGTGGAGGCTGCAGCAAGCCATGATCATGCCATCACACTCCAGCCTGGGCAACAGAGCAAGATCCTGTCTCAAAAAAATAAGAAAGTATGGCAGGAAAGAGCTAAACTAAAATCTTTAATTTTGCACACCAACCCCGACAAAGACAAGAACATGGAACGGTGGCCCATTCCAATCAAAAAGATCCTCGGATGCTTTTGAGGCCAGTTCCTGGTATGGCGCAGCCCCAGGTCCCAACTGCAGGATTACGCAGGTGTACGCATGAGGGTGGAGGGAAAAGGAATGGCTTAGGATAAATCTTAGGCTTCTGATTTGAGTGATGAGAAAGATGGTTTGCTCCATTAACTACAGTTTGAAGACAATAAGAAGAGAAAGTCTCCGGGTAAATGGATAATAACACTCTTTTATGGATGTGGTACATCACAGCAGCCTGCAGTGGACCCATGGGGAAACAGCTCAGCAGACGCTGAAGTTATGGGGTCTAGGATCCAGGACAGAGGGCCTGCCTGGAGTAATCAATGTTGGGAGCTGATGCTGGGAGAGCAGATTAATAGATTAAGTCTCCTAGGGTGAGAAAAAAAAAAAGGGCAGAGTTTGAAACACTCATCACTACCAACATTTAAGGAAATAGAGGGTAGAAGGCTAACAAAGAAATGGAGAAAAGAAAATTGGTGAAGAAGATCAGGAAAACTAGGAAATGTGGTCTTTTAGAAGCAAAAGAGGGGAAAGCTTTAAGAAGAGATGGGTCCAAAGTGTCACATGTTCTAACAAGGTAAAGGATGATGAGACCAGAAAGAGGGTCCTGGATAGGGCAGTGCCAGGGCACAGGTGGCTGCAGTGGGAGCAGCTTCTGTAGGGGGTGTGTGTGTGTACATATGCACGTTGGGTACATGTGTGGATGTGTGTGTCTGTGTGCGCATATATGTGTGTCAGGTGGAGAGGAGGTAGCAGAAATTAAATCACAGAGGATTGGGGAATAACCAGGAACCGGGGACACAGAGACAATAGGTGTAACTACTCTTTTTTAAGAAGCAAGGAAGTTAAAGGATTACTTTGGAGGAAAAAAAAAAAAAAAAAAAAAGCAAAACAAGAAGCAAGAATGTAAGGGAAGGAAGGAAAGAAATGGAGCAAGAACTTGAAAGTGAATCAGGGTCCAGAAGAGGCTTTGTTTTGTTTTATAATGAAAGAAACTTGAGCATGAGAAGCACCTGGTAGATGAGGGAGGAACGAACATGTGTGTGAGCAAACAGTGAGAACACCCTGGCAGAAATTAGATATGAGTGTTGCTGAAATCGTGATAAAGAGAACAGTGATGTCATCACCCCCACTCCCGTGCAAGGGCAGAGGTGGTGTGGCTCTCAGGTGGCTTGTCCCTACCACGGTCTCACCTCATGGAGCTTGTCAGCCTTCTGGGTCTGCTTCTTCCGACTTCTCTGAGCAGCAACTCGGTTTTTTTCTCTCCTTCGGACCTTCCTGTCATCATCCTCAGGGCTCTGGGGAAAAACATTGGGTGGGCGTGATGTCGTGGCCTCTCGCCTTACCCTTCTCTGCCCTGTCTCGTCACTCAGCGTTGTTCACAGAGCTTTACCATTTGCTTTGCAGTAGACAGCAGCACTAGTTGCTACACCAATGGGCTCACAACAGCCCCTTGCCCAGGAGCACTCACCATGTGAGTGTGTGAAGTGTGTGGTGTGACTGCTGTTTAAAAGATGAGGAATAAGAAACTCAGAGGGGTTAAGGACCTTGCTCCAGGTATTACAGCCACCAAGTGGGTGAGTGGGAAGTGGAACTCAGGTCTGTTGGTCTCCAAACCAATGTTCATAAACCTCTAGCCCACAGGGCGTGTGCCTGGAAGAGCTGTGGTGTCAATGTTGTCCATCTGAGACTGGAAAGCTGGGCGGGGGCAGGGGGCGGTGGAGAGATCTGCTATCTGGAACTTGCTGTTTGCCAGTCCTTACACCACCACGCATGAAAGGTACTTTTGATGCTGCATGCAAATCATGATTACACTTATAACTAATTGCAACCACATAACTCTACCAACACACCAAATGATCTTAAACCCCACTGACAATGTACTCATTTGAACAATGCTTGGCTGACATTTTGTTTCAGAAGTCAGAGTGAATCAGAAAGCAAATTTTTGATGTGCCTTGAAAGCTGTTAGCTATAAGTAAGATTTAACCAAATTCAGTCAAATCCCTCAAGAGTGATCATGAAACAGGCAGGCGGGAAAATGTACCGACTGTGGTAAAAACACTTCAATCAGCTAGAGAAAACATGAAAAAGTAGAGCAGTATTTGCTTTCTAGAACCCCATGAGGAGACACCACCAAGCGGGAAAAATACCACACTTACAGAGTTTAAGAGCCAAGAGGTACAAATACAGGAAAACCACTCAGTTATTAATATTCATGGAATGCAAATATTAATAACACAAAAATGGATATTTTCAGTTATCATTTGATCTTGTCCTGTATTCCAAATAAGACACACATCTTCCCAAGTTACTACAGGTAAGAATTTTTTATAAGGGTATAAAAAGGAGAAGAATAAATAACATAGCAAATAGAAGCTTAAGGGAACAGAGACAAAGTATGAAAATACAGTCTTTTAGAGAGGCAAAGAAGTCTTGATAAACAAAACCAGAACATTACAGGGGAATATGTGGTTAGAAGACAGCTCTTTAGCTTTAGAATCACACCGATCCTAGTTTTGTCTCTTGGTGTCAACATGGCCTTGTGTAAATGGTTTAAATTCTCTAAATTTTCAGTTTTCTCATTTATTGCAAACATAATTCATTCATTCTTTCAATACGTATTAACTGAGCACCCACCATGTGCCAGACACTGTCCCAGACACTGGGGATACAAGCCCTAAACAAAGGGTCAGTGAACTCTGCAGACTTAGTGCTAACAGCCTAATGCTTAGGATTGGGATACGATGAAATGAGATTTTGTCCTAAAGCTCCCAGCACACAGTATGCCCTCAAGAAGTTACCTGCCTTTGTTGAAGTTCCTACTTAAAAAAATATGTATTCTGCATAGTGCTTTTCATGCCTCTTGCTCTCCGTAATCAAAAAGTCACTAGCACAAGAAAGCAGCCTGCATACTGCCCTCGGGGAGCTGACTCTAAACTGTACTCATCACCATGATCACACCTGCCAACCCAGCAGAAACATTTAGTCAAGACAGAAAGAGGTGAGCAAAAGTTAGAGATAGTATTACGTTATTAATCGTATCTGATTCAATCTCAAAGATCCTGAGAGATCGATGTTATTATATTCATTTTACAGATGGGGAAACGGAGGGTCGGAGAGGTTAAACAGATTGCTCAAGGCTGCTCAGCCTGTGTGTGGCAAAGCCGAAGCCCAAACTCAGATCTCTGAGACACTCCAGCGTCACCTGATGACATGTGCCCAGCGCTGAATTGGGAAGGTGGGGAGTAAGGATGAAAAGACCCAGTCTTCGTCGTAAGGCAGGTGGCCAAGACCCAGGCAAAGTTTCCAGATGGCCGTCCCTGTGGCCAGCCTGGTCTGTTTCCTGAGTGCTCAGCTGTAAACGTTGCTAGGGGACAGCGGACTGGGAAGGGGCAAAGGGTTTCCATCAGCTGGGGGCGGAGTCGGCCCTTTGTAGGTCCCCCCGCCCAGGCTGACCAGTCCCGCGTTCTCCATTCCCGCGGCAGCCCACCCCCGCGGAAGCCCGGAGGGGCTACAGGCACGGGCGGTGGGGTGGTA